GGACCAAAACAAACTGGAAGAAGCAAAGTAACATTGATTGATTTTCTCTAATGTATGCATACCGTTTATAGTGCAATTAACCTTTCTATTTTTCCTTTCTAGGAGACAAAATTACATTACTTGTTGATATATTTATTGGTATACTTGTAAATACTTATTTAATCAGATTCGGAATATGAGTGATGAGGAAACTTATTGTGTTCGCGAACCCTCCGTTTAGGCTGGATTTATTGATTTAAATCCTTAAGTTTATTTTCAACTCTTCGATGATGGAACATTTTTAAATTAATATTATAATGATTCACTTTTATCAGCCTTCGTTCAGGAAAATACAGAAACATTGTAATGCATGATTACAATTGCATGATAACTGTAAACTGTCCAAATAACCTTGATTTTTGTGACTATTGATTCTTTATTAAAGCTTACCAATATTAAAAAAAAAGCATTCCATATTGCGTTAAACCATTCCATGGTGCATAATAAAGAGTTTGTTCAATTCCAATAAAATATCAAAAATAATAATAAAAAAATATACTGCGGTTAACTTAAATTGAACTTATGTGTATTTTGTAATACTTGTTTATTTTACATTCATTATATTTTATATATTACATGACTAGTAAATTATTTTTATTTCACATATTTAAAATCTCATTATATCATTATAACTATAATTTTCATTTACAGAAAATAGTTGTCCTACAAATACTGATGGTGTATCAAATAGCAAATCATTGTTAATTACATTTTATTTTATTATTATATAATATGATCTATGGTTTTCAGAATTTGGACTACCCAGAGAATAAATTGAATATCATCATACATTAGGCCAATGTTTTTAATTTGTTTTACTTTTGCAGAATTTTGCTCTTTCAAGAATTATTCATTGATACTTTTTTTTTATAAATCTTGTATGCTCAAATATCCTTGACTATGTAGCAAATTGAGTCTTTATTTAAATTGTGGATTAATTAAATAGGTAAAGTTGAGTTCAATCATACCACGGCCAATGATTATAAATAACAAAACTTGTTTATTTTTTTTATATGTTGCATTTCACTACATATATTATATAAATTATACATTGCATGATGTACTATTACTATTAGCTTAATATTCCAGTTACCCAAGCAAGTCATCGAAATTAATATGAAGCTGATGAAGCAGAGGAAATAACAATATTAAATAAGATTATATTTTTCGTCTGTTAGTTATTAATCACAATTTTTAGCATTATTGTTAGTACCATTCGAGCAAAATATATTTAATTGCCTTATATACCCTATACATTTCAGTGCTGCATCCACCTGCCATTGTAAGCTGAAAAGGTATAGAGCTGCATCTTATTATATGTAAAATACTTCTTCATTGCAGTAGCAACTATATTATCCATATAAATGTATTTCATTATGTCATATTTTAATGTTCTGATATATTTCATTTCTCCATTGCATATATTTTCATTATATAAATAAATACTGGGTTGGGAGGGAGCATCAGGGTATCATTCAAACTGAAACTGGACGATGGTATGATTGACAGCTGGAGTCTAGGAGAGAATAAACACTATCATTTTCTTTATCCTACCGATTCGATTGTGGTGATGTGAATTCTACTCCAACAGTTTCAGGGCGATTGACGCGCCCTTCTTAACAAACCATCCAGTAGGAAGCTTAATAAGTATTGCGAATTGTGTTATTCGATTTGTTGGAGCGTATCGTTGGAAGGAGATTCTTAAATTCCCGTGGATTTCGCGTAAGTGTCTCTGCTTACGGGTCCACCCTTCCGTTTTTGGCCCTTCATACAGCGATATAGTGAATTCAGATCGGTAGCTCAAATTGATCTTGCTATTAAGTGGAGCTGCATCCAAGACAAGTCTTGAAAGGATGGTGGCTACCTTACATACATACACATACAAACTAAATTTTGAGAAATCCACATCAATAATCCATAGAGTGAAAATTACCTAACCATCAATTGAATGGAATTGGCGTTGGCAGCAACTCTGTAGCTCTTTACTCCTATGTTAAAATCCATAAGTAAACTTCAGACTGTGCGTGAAACATGGCGGACTTCATACTATCAACCGGTGAAAACTAACGATTTTAAATTGATTCACTACTAGAATAGCCTATTGGTCCCTAGCAAATCGATTAACGTATCCTATTCTAGTCGAAATTCTAGTACTACACTATGTTTGTTTTGATTCTGTATGGAAGTTTGACAGATAAAATGAGGGGTTCGTGGATTTTCCTATGTTTCGAGGGGTGCATCGATTAGCTTGGGACCGAAGATAGCACCAGAACTGAGCCAAAATGTTGAGCACATTTTTTCGGGACCTTCTGGTCTTAGAGTTACCTATATGGTACTATCCTATCACTTCACCGAAAAATCCCATAAGAAACTGTCAATCATTTCTAGAAGAGACCATTTTTCGACAGTGCCGTCAACGCCAATAATGGAGCACGAACGAAGGGGATGAAGCACACAAAAATGACAGTATCAAAGGCAGCGCAGGTTGCTATGATTTTGATCCAAAAATAAGTTAAAATTTCTCAATGGTGAAAACATGACGGTTGAGTACTTTTAACTTAAAATCGAATTCATTTTTATTTTTTGTTATTGAGCTTTTTTAAACTTAAGTGTTTTTGAGTGTTTTTTCTTCTTACCGTGTTCGTTAATCTATAACCCAAAATTGGGTTAACGATTATTAGCGTTATGAAAGTTTTCCTCCTGTCAGTTGCCAATGTGGTATGTAAAGAGGAATGGCAGATATAATCTGCATTTTCTTTTATTTGTTTGCAGTACCTCTAAGCTTATTGTACATTCAAACTTTAGCAGATATCACGTTATTTAGGCACTTTTGATATCATATTATATAACGTTATTACGTTATTAATATCAACTATAGTCTGAACGTAGTACAATGTCATGATGTCAGGGTACGCGTGTAACATGCATGAGAAAGCTAATACTGTTTGCCACACCTTTTATTTGACTAAACGTATGAATTGATTACACGCTTAAATAATAAGATCACGAATGTTTTCACCGGGAGAGGGTATTACTTATGCGTCTTTTCAGAAATATATGGGAATTCTGGAAGTGAACCATATTGTTAATTTATAATATTTGATCATACTCTATGCCCAGGGAAGTCGAGAAATTTTCCAACCCAAAAAATGCCTAGACCGAACCGGGAATCGAACCCAGCCACCTCCAGCATGGTCTTGCTTTGTAGCTGTGCCTTTACCGACTGAGCTAAGGTAAAGCACCGCTTGTCGTGACCGGCCCGAGATTTCCAGCGTCGGCCACGGCTACATGAATTAGCGATGCAGCTCCCACAGCTGCGGCTGCCTCTGCTTTAGTTGCTGCTGCTGTTCCGCCTCCTCTGAAATTCATAAAAAAAAGATGGACCAGCAGCAGCATTGGAAGTAGCCGTGGGAGCTGCATCGCTAGTTCGAGTAGCCATAGCCGGAAACCTCGGTCAGGTCAAGATACTGCTGTCAGCTGTTCTTCGTCTGGGAGGAAATGTGGATGCGACTGCCGTCACGGATGTAACAATTTTGAGAATCCATGGCGAGACTGGTGGAGATTCACGGTTGTTTTGAAAATAATTTGATTATATTGTGGCAACATCAATAACAATTTTTGACACATGCACACTGCGTAAGCGCAGAAAAAATTCAGTGTTGCCAGTAACTTTAAAGATCATAAAAATTGTAACCATGGGTGCCAAACAGCGTCAATGACGACGCCCAGGTGTGCCCAAGTTTGATTTTGGCACACAATGTAGAATGACCAACCCCTTGACCTCAATTGAAGAATCAAAGTGACGATTGACTCACAGATGGTGATTATAGTCGCTATATTTATAGTCTAGTGAATAGAATCTCGGGAAACAATCGAGCACATCACGATCAACAAGAAAAAAGCGCATATCAGCTTTTACGAACAAAACTTCGGAAACCGTTTTCTCGTGACCTCGCTCGTGACTCAAGGCTCAGCTATGCAAACCAACACCATCAGTTCAGGGTAGCAACGGCGCCGGTGGTGTAGTGGTAAGCGTGATTACCTCTCACCCCAGCAGGCCTGGGTTCAATCCCAGTCGGCACCGCCGGGATGTTCTGAGGCATAACATCTCTGATCACGCCTTCCTTCGGATGGGAATTAAAGCCGTTGGTCCCCGGTTCATGAGTTGATGGGTCGATAGGTAGGGTCCAGGTGCGGGAGCTGCCTTCCTGGCACGTCGGTAGCATTGGTGCTCAGCACGGAAAACAAGATCGACGGAAAAAACAAACCAAAGGAAAAAAAAAAAAAAAGTTCAGGGTAGGAAAAGTTTCCACCATCCGATGATGCTGTTAATTTGCGTTTGGTTGGTGATGATAGAACTATCAAAGTTTTGTTTATGAAAGTTGATGATACCTTTTTAAATATTGCTCTCCAATATATTGAATTGGTCCCACTTCTTGATAGGTCGAAATTCTATCCACTTAGACCATAAATATAGCGTCTATAATGGTGAGTGGGTGAAAATTGTTATGACCAGAGTCAATGTTATAATAAAAGTCCCGCCTATATTACATGATATAAGCCATAGTCTGTACGGGGTATTAAGTTTCATGACACTTCGTTGGTGATTGCCTCTCCTAATAAAAAATACCATAATCGAATGATACCCCAAAAGATTGAACAATTCCACAATTAGTTTGGATGATACCCGGAATACGTCGTTAAGCAAAATAACCATAACCATTAAGGGCATAGTCTATAGCCCCTCGCCCTGATTCTCAACCCTGCGCACGGCATTCGTAATTTTGATCATCTTTTCTGGAGGCATGAGGCTAACCTCGCTCACCTGGCAACAGGTGCGTGTTTATTTTTGTCTTTACTCTTTCTACCATTTTCATCGTCAGTCTCAGGCACCTCGTTCTGTCCGTCTATCAAAAGCGATTTATTTCTCGAACGGTAAGCATCTAATATTGGAAATAATTTCCACTTGAAGTAATTAAAAAAAATAAACCTTAGCGTTGGTCAGCATGTTTGATCCTACGCAGCACGGCTTGAGCCGTGATTTTCGCCTCACCAAGTTCTCCACGCTGCGCGGGTGAGGTTCGAAAATTCCTCAGGATGTCCTTGACCGGCTTCTCCGAGGAGTGTACAGCGAACAATTCGCCAGCAGCAGTAGTAGTGTAAAAAAATCCGACAATGTTAACAATGTAGAAGGTGATAAGAAGAGTACCGCTGATAGCGCTGAGGGTGTTGGTAAGTGATTATCTAGTTTGTCCCATGATTATCATGTCAATATGCGCTTATGTACTTTTTAGGGATTGGACTCGATTCATCCGTGATACCGTTGAAGAATGATTTGCATTTAGTTCAGACCGTGGACTTCTTCTACCCGTTGATCGATGATCCGTACATGTTGGGTCGCATAGCCCTGGCCAACGTGGTTAGCGATGTGTATGCCGTGGGAGCGTTGGAGATTGATGAAATCAAGTTGGTCTGTTCGGCTCCGACAGAGTTCAGTGACGAGGAACGGGACATTGTGGTTCCGATGATCATCAAGGGCTTCCAGGATGCGGCCACCGAGGCAAAAGCCCGCGTGAAGATCGGTAGCATTGCGCTGAATCCGTGGTGCATTATCGGAGGAATTGCCACGGCCGTTTGCCTCAAGTCGGAGTTGATCATGCCGTACTATGCACAAGCAGGCGATTCACTGGTCCTGACCAAGCCTCTGGGAACGCAACTAGCCACGAATGCGTTTGTGTGGATGATCGAAGAGTCGGACAATTGGAAGAAACTTTCCGAACAGTTCACTGCATCCGAAATTGAGAAAACATACGACATCGCAGTAGAATCCATGTCGCGGTTGAACAGATCTGGAGCGGAGCTTATGCACAAATTTGAGGCTCACGCTGCCACTGATGTGACCGGTTTTGGGTTGTACGGTCACGCCGACAATTTGGTTAAATTTCAGAAAGGTAGCATTGATTTCGAAATCCATACGCTACCGATAATAAGAAATGTCAAGGAGATTGCGGAAATCCTGGGAAGAAATGCGAAGCTGGTAGCTGGGAAGGCAGTCGAAACATCCGGCGGACTGCTGGTTAGTTTGCCATCTGCCAATGCAAAGCAGTTCTGCGACGAGTACGAGAAAGTTTCAGGTCGTGGTGCATGGATTATCGGAACGGTGGTGGAAGGTAGCCGGACGATCAAAATAAGTCCAAATCCAACGATCATCAGCGTTGATTAGCACAAACCGATGCAGACTGGGTTGATTGAGAGGGGGCTGGTGTCGGGAGCAGAGCAGCGGCTACGTGTGGTAGAACGTATGAAGCGGACTTTTAAAGGCAGAAATGCTGGTAAGTTTGTGAAAGTTTTTCTCCTCGGTAGCTGTTACCTGCTGTTGCTTCCGGTAGTAATCTCCTGTTGATGCCTAAGTTAGCGGAATAAATTTGTTTAATTTGTACTTTTTCTAAAGTGTGGACTCTGAGTTTATTTGCTAGAGAACGAACCCTGAACATCAACTTTTAAGTGCTTCTGAACGTGTGTTAATCTATCATCTAGTAAGTGGTGTTGTGTGCTGAAAACGAGGTGTTGAACGATTTGAATCTACTCCTGTGTTGTAACCAGCATGGTAAAGAAACTGTAGATCATTTTGTGGCTCTGTGAAAGGGAATAGGGATTTCAGTATCGTTAACTGATGATTCGATTAGAATGAGATCTTACCTGTACATAGGTCTCCATGTTCATCACTCCAAAGCGGTACGATATCTCCTTGATGTTTTGAGACATGAGCAGAAGCAATTTCAGAGATTGTTGAACCGACAGGTCCAAATCATACCAGGTGATGATGTACACCTGTTCGATCAGTTCTTCGCTCTGAAAAAGTATCATACCGATTTTAATCACTTAATCTGAAAGCCATGCGAGAAATGTTACCTTCACTAGCAAAAGGGTTCCCAGCAGGCAAAGTGAAAAGATCTGGAACGATGCAGCAAAGCAAATCACAATGGCCGAATACCAGCGCACCTGTAAAGGAAAGGATGAACGATTCTGTTCAAGAGTTTAAACGAGTAGTTCCAGCTTACCCAAACCAACGCGATTAGCAAAACGGCAATCGTGCCAGTCATACACGCGAGGCTCATCAGAAAGTATGAACTGAACACTTCGTTCGACAAGTTGAGGAAGCTGAAAAAATTAAAACGACCGACGGATAGGTTGTTAGTAACAAATAAATTTCAAAGGATTGTATGGCATTTTCCGGAAAGCCATTTGCCGGAATGGACCATTTCTGGGAATGTAGGGGTAGGCGGGGCAAAATGAGCATCCTGCAATTAAGCCTTAATTTTCTAATTGTTCGAAACAAATTAACTGGTAGGACTAGGAGTAGGTTCAATAGCATCATTGCAATTAATTTCTAGAAAATTATTGCATGAAACACATTTATACTTCGAAAAAGATTGTATGGCATTCCCGCGAAAGTCATTCCCTAGAACGGACTACCCTAATAAAAATAACCATAAACGAACGATAACCCAAATCATTGAACTATTCCATAAATGGTTTGGATGATACCCAGAACACGTCGTTAAGCAAATTAACCATACAATTTTTATTAGGGTATTCCCAATAAAATCACTCCCCAGAATACACCATTCCCCAGAATGGACTATTTCCCTGAAATATAAATTGTTACGTTTCCGTGATTTTGTCGCACTAAAGCTCTTATTGTTACATATTATAATCATTCTGAACAAGAAAAATGTCATCAAGATAGATTTGTTGCATGTTAAAGTAGATTGGCCCACATTTATATGGGAGATTTTTTTATCGTTTTTTTTTCAACGGGCCAACCCTCCAATTGTCCAATAGTCACTCTCTAAAAATTTCACCTCATTCGGATGTAACACGAGCAGGCGCTTTTGGTTTAAAGTTAATATGAGGATTTTTTCCAAATGTATGGAGAACTAACATCCCTTCACTCTTTCGTGCATAAATCTGGTTCAGCAAACTCTTTTAAGCTCAGAATTTCAGCTAAGCTTGTAGCTTAAACTATGAGAAACAACTTTGTTCAAGACAGCATCATGATTCAAGTTAGTATTATGTAGATATTCATTCTTGAATTTATATGTGCATTTTGTTCGTATATTGCAGCAAAAAACAGGCAGCTTCTGCAACGTAGATTAACACTAAAATAATAAAAGTTCATATTTTCCACAGGCCAACATCCAGACTCATGTCAGTACTCGTTACTCGGAATGGCGCTGTTGGTTTTATGTTCATGTAGTAGTAAATTTTGTTTGAATTTTCATATACAAAATGCTCATATATATTCAAAATCGAATATCTCAATAAAATTAACCGGAATTATAACGCAGTCTTCAGCAAAGTTGTTACTCATTGTTTGAACTACAAGTTTTGAAAATTTGAATCAAATCGATAATAGAGTGCAGGAGTGTCGCTTTTTCATGTATTTTATCCAAAATCTCCATACAAAATTCAAACTAAAAGCGCTAGCTCATCCTACAACCAAATGAGTTAAAACTTTCAGAGAATGGTTTTCTCACCTAAAGGCACAAATCTAGAGGTTGGCCCGTGGAAAATTAGAACTTTTATTTTTGTGGGCCAGTCCAATGTTATAGCTCCCTTTTCTGAACATTAAACACGTACCGTCTAAAAAATAACAACAGTGTACTTACATTTTCAACTATATTCAATGCACTAAAGGGTGTCCACGATGAAATTGCCACACTATGAAATTGCTCTAACTTTTTAACCGTTGGGTAGAATTTAATGAAAATTTGGGTGGATTTAGTTCATAGTGCATGCAAGTTTTAAAGTCCTGTGATCAAAACTCGCGGAAATGGAGTCGAAAGAACAGCTCGTGCGTGATAAAATCTTGCGCATTCATTACGAGAACAAGGATCTCTCGCATCGTTCCATCGCTAAAACGTTGGGAATCGCGAATTCCACAGTGTCGCGAGTGATTAAGCGGTTCGAGGAACGGTTGACCACCGATCGGAAGCCCAGAAGTGAAGGAAAAAGTATTCCGTACAACACCAAAAATCATAACCGCGTAGTTGGGGATAAGTTCAGCGTTCCGGAGCATGTCCGCACTCAGAAGATGTCCAAATTTGCGAAGAAATTCCTGGTTTGGCAAGCCATCTGCACGTGCGGGAAGCGGAGTGCACCTTTCGTGACCCAGGACACGATGAACGGACAGGTGTACATAAAAGAGTGCCTCCAGAAGCGGCTGCTTCCTCTCCTGAAGGCCCACAACGTCCCAACAATCTTCTGGCCGGATTTGGCCTCATGCCACTACTCCAAGGACGTGCTGAAGTGGTATGCGGACAATAAGGTCAATTTCGTGCCGAAAATGTTCAACCCTCCCAACACTCCGGAGCTCCGCCCCATCGAGAAGTACTGGGCGATTATAAAGCAGCACCTTCTTAAACGACCTAAGGTAGTGATGACAGTCGAGGAACTGAAGAAAGTATGGGTTTACATGCAAAAAACGGTTGATTCACAGGTTGTGCAGAATCTTATGGCCGGGGTTAAGGCCAAGGTGCGGGCATCTGCGTATGGACTGTAAATAAAATACGAGTAAAATGGTAAAATGAAGTTTAATAGTTATTTCTCAATCCCTGAAAATTTGATGGCAATCGGATGAAAACTCGAATTTTGCGAATCAATTTTGTGTGTGGCAATTTCATCGTGGACACCCTTTAAACTTGATGTAATATAATCACCGACGAACCGACATGCCAAATGAACATTTCGTTTGTCCACAATTCAAATTGTCAAACGAGCGATTCAAATTTTCAAACGAGATGAGGCGCCGCGTAGTGAGAAAATACCGAACTTCTGTCCACCAACCTTTAGATATTGATCCACTGAACAACTTCTCCGAAGACAGCAACTTCTTAGATGGCAAGGATTTCAAGTTATTTTTTCCTTGATTTGTTTTCCGTCGATCTTGTTTTCCATGCTGAGCACCAATGCTACCGACGCCAGGGAGGCAGCTCCCACACCTGGACCCTACCTATCGACCTATCAACTCATGAACCTGGGACCAACGGCTTTACTTCCCTTCCGAAGAAAGGCGTGATCAGAGATGTTATACCTCAGAACATCCCGGCGGTGACGACTGGGATTGAACCCAGGCCTGCTGGGGTGAGAGGCAATCACGCTTACACACCACCGGCGCCGCTAAAGGCCCACGCACATTAGATCCGGATCGGACGCACTGCCGCAAAGTGACAGCTAAATCTATTGTCTAACTGTCAAATTTACGTCAACGCAACGCAAATGGGTCTAATGTGGGTGGCCCTTAAGGATTTCAAGTTATACCGTATGCGTGATAATGTTTGCACCATCGTACAAATAAGGTTCACGTTTCACCTGTGCATACAATGCCTTGGTGCACGTAACCTATAGCTCATACCATAGTAGGCTGTGTATAAAAGAAAACGATTTACTTAGTTTGACAGTTGCACCATGACGAAGTGGCAGCGTATTCGTGATTTGTCCCATGCGCAAATGTCGCAAAAAGACATCTCAATCGCCGTGGGAGTGTCCCGGTGGACCGTCAAAAGGGTTTTAGACCGAGAAAAGAAAGTACAACTATCCGAGAAGGTGGCCACAGGTCGTCCGAGGTCAGCTCGGGTTCCGAGGGTTATCGCTGCTATCAAAAGGAAGATTCGGGTGAATCCAGTGCGTTCAATAAGGAAAATGGCAAAGGAACACGGGATCAGTGACTTTACTCACATGATTACCAACCGCATCCGGGAGCTACGAGTCGAACGATGCATGAAAATCTTCCGTAAGGGGGAAATACAAGTAAAAATTGTTTTTTTTTATCGATTTTTATATTTTACTTTAAAAATTTTAACAAATGCTACGAGCACGAGGAAGGAGTGATCTATGGCCCCGGTATCACCGATTAACCATAAGTTCAAAAAATCAAGTTTTTACACAACCCAAAACTTTAAACGCGTTTTTCTCGAAACGGTGTTTTCCAAATTGGCGGGAAAGATAACTCAAAAATCTGGCGCATCTTAAAGGAAATATATTTTTTCTCTATGTGAACCGCTGATATAATGAAAAAAATTAACAATAACTAATTTTCAGGTCTGCCTAAAGTGGAAAAAAACAGCGAAAAATCCGAGGGGGGCGACACATCTAAATCTCAATTCTAGATGCTCAAAAAATCTCACACTAGCGAATCAATCTTCGAAAAATCATCTTTCATTTCTCGCATCTACTTGCATCGTGCTTCATATTTTTGCAGGAAATCTTCAAAATCGACATAAATCTTCCTTTTATCTACTCAGCGTGCGTGCAGCTAGCCACAGCAAAACACAATCTTTTCTGCATCGTAGATAGAGTCGCCACCCTCGGAAAAATCAACTTTTTTTTCAGATATTTTTTTCTAAATTTTTAAATCGTTTTTTTCTTTGGGTTTTAGAGGTTCACATAGAACAAAAATCTTTTCTGAAAAAGGTCCAATTGATAAAAGTAAGTTTTGTCCATTCTTCAGGTCTCTAGAACGCCCGCCAATCCCCACCGGAGGCGACCTCCTTCCGATGTGACCCCAAGAAGCCACAGAGGTCACACACCAATGAAAAAAAATCCCAAATGTAGAGGAAGATTTAAGCAATTTAATGTAAAAAACCCCAAACGTTTGCGTTGTTTCATTTGCTCACAAAAAAATTCCGAAAATCGTCGAGTTTTTGACGTGTTACTTGTATTTCCCCCCTTAAGCGAAAAAAAATCTGGTAATCCTGTTCACCGACGAGAGCATGTTTACCGTCGATCCCGTATCAAATTCCAGAACCGACCGGTATCTCTTCCAAAAGGCGACAAGGTCAATACGGAGGTCTACATCGGGATTTTAAGTAAGTATGTTCTTGTGTGGATCAAAGAACAGTACGGTCCGAAGTCAAAAATGTTGTATTTCAACAAGATGGGGCTCCGTGCCGCACCTCGAACCGCACTCAGAAGTGGTTGCAGGAACATCCTCCGTTCTGGGCGAAGGATATGTGGCCGCAATCCAGCCCCGATCTTAATCCGCGGGATTACTCATGAAGGTCAAGGCCTGTTCTAAACGCCACCCGAGTACAGCAAGCATCAGACAAACATTGACCCGTACCTGGAGAGAAATGGATCCAGACTACATTATTAGAACC